TGTCCCCATTCCTGTTCTACCTTGAGTTACATACCATGTTTCCAGTCCATGTCTGCAGACTTTTATTTTTACTGATATCCTCCAATACATTTGGGGTCCCTCCTTGCAAGATGTCAGATACAAAACTAATGAGCATTTTGACTATTCCACCATCTGTTTTGCTAATGAAAACCTTGAACAGAAGCAGATCTAAGGCAGATCCCCCACAGAGCCCTGAGCATAATTAGATTTTTATTAATTTCTCTATGGTGTGGTTGTGTGCCCACAGAATAAAGGCTTTGTTTTTATTACTTCTGACAATTAGAATATTGACAGCGACAGAGTCAAAAACTTTGCTCAAGTAAAGGTACATGTGTTCCTCTGCTCCGCATCTGTCCACAGAACCTATAACCCAGTCATTGAAAGAGTGAATTATTTTGCTCTGATTTATTCTTGGCAAATCTATGTTGGCTTCTGGTTCTCTCCATGTTGTTTTCTGGGTTCTGAAAACTGCTCCAAACTTATTCTGTGAATTGAAGTTAAACTGATTGATCTAATTCAGTCATCTTTTCCTTTCATTTTTACTCTTCAGATGAATAGACACTAATCTTCTTCTACTTAATAAAAGTCACAATAGATGGATTTTAATGTCTTCACAGGCAGAGAAATATGCACTTAACATCAAAACTAGGTACCTATCACACTAGAATTTAAATTGTGGTAATGTAAAAGCATTTGATTTTCTTTGGTTAAGGAGGGTGTACAATATCATTATTTCATCTCCTTTACACCTTGAAAATTCTAATAGGGATAAAAATCTTTAATGATATTTTGGAAGCTTTTGAGATCACTCATTTATGGCTATTATAGAGTAGAAATTTTGATTCTGACTAGGGTAAGTGTCTCAATGTGTCTCAATGTCTTCATCAGGGATATTGTACAGAAATGTTTTATAGGTGTAAAGAGTCCAAGATTTTGGGGATGCACAATGAAAATTTTAAATTAAAGATTTCAGCTTTCTCTTTACAATAGGAACAGAAGATGAGATCCACACAGTCTAAGTTTGGCAATAGAAGAGTTAGTTGCCTGGACTACAGTAACTATGCAGGCTCTCCTTCTGGGCAATGGAAACAAGCTGACAACTCCTTCCTAAAAGGGGTACAAAGCAGATGAGATCTCTTTTCCACTTTCTCTCATTGGCACTAACATGCAGATTGCAAATGGATTTTGCCAGCTGCTTTAGGGAGATCTTGAGGAAAGCAGGTGATGGGTCCACAGCAAAAGCTGGGACTTCTTTGTGGAATTGCTGCTGTTATCTCAAGTATGTGAGCCTTCAAGTTACACTGACATCACTGATGGACCAGCCTAGGATTCAGTAAACAGACCAGTAAAATAAGCAATTTTCTCGCTCTTCATGGTAGCCTGACATGTCAGAGTTCAGGCACACTAATCAGTGCATTTCTGTTGCTCTATTATATGTTAGTTTCAGTATATAATAAAGAAATTGCATTATGAAGGCTGTTTATTGGGATGGGTGAAATATTTGTCTTATTTTTTCTGTAATGAAGAAGATGGTGTACTCCACAAAAAAAGAACTTTGAAAAGGTATTTGCCAATATTGGTCATACAGACAGAATTTGTTCAGATCAGAAGGGATCCCAGTATGTTTCTAGACCAATCTCCTGCTCAAAGCAGGTGGGGTCTGCAATTATTTGAAACCCTGAAGATTTAACAAAGGAATGGGACAAATTCTTAATATTTCTGGAGATAACTCAATATATAGAAAATGGGAGCCAAAAAAAGCTTTCTCTCTAGTCAGAGATTTCTGTACTTGTTATTTTAGGAATAATAATAAAAATAAGTAAAAAAAAAAATCCACAATACATTTTGTCATTTTCCACTGCAATTTTGCCATTTTCAATATATGCATACAAAAATTACTTTAGAATTATTTTCAGATTTGATAAACAATTGGATGCATGCTTATTCAAAAAGAATTTTGTTTAAATGGTCTGAATTTTAATGCAATCAATTGGTTTAGATTTTTCTTTCCTTCAGGTATAAATAAACTGAAAACAATGCACAAATTTAATTTGGGGTTCCCTGAAATATTTCAGGCAAATGCAAAATAAAAATTAGCTATACTTGTTTCAGCTTTGTTCCTTTGTTTGGTTTTTTTTCCTTCCCACTAAGAATATTGATTTGCTTGTTCTGGCTTGAATTTTTAATCCCTTTATCTTTTGTGGTTCAAGCATGAACCAAAACTGCACTGATTAGTGAATTCTAACTACTGTCATGAGCCAGTCAGAAAAAGGATCTTGGCCTAGATCAGCAATGAGAGGTGTATAAATTAGGATCCCAATCAAAGTGGTGTCAGCTCCTCATGATATTTCAGACTTCCATGAACTCACTGACTGTTTTCATTCCATTATTGGTTCCATGACTTTTTAGAAGATTAGTCAATCAACCAAAATTAATGATAAAACAACTTTCTTCAGCAGAACCACCTTTTTTCTTGACACACAGTGTTGCCATTTACACAGAATTGCAACACTAAGTAAAATGAAAATCAAGCTCTCTTTTTTCCCAGAAATCAATGCTTTTTTTGCCAGACTTTTACATTCTGACACTGAGAGTCACCCATGCATTAAATGAATCCATTGAGACTGTGTTGGTGACATCTGCATCATCAGTTCACTTTTCAGGTCTGTGTTGTGCAAGGTACAGCAAGCTGCCTCTAAACAATTTTCCTTCTAAATTGCAGATGTAAATACATATGTGTATATGTGTGTGTGTATATATATATATATATATATATAAATATATATATACTTGACATTTGACATTTAAGCTACATTGCTTTGAACTAAATCAGACCTTAATGCTAACAGCTTTAGCACAGCACTGCTTAACTGATTCATATCCAGTAAAACAGCATCTGTTAGTGGCACAAAGCATCTTCTGCCTTATAAGGTCAAGCAGCTACTAAGAGAAAAGAACTTCAGTAGGACAAATTCTGTTTTCACCAATGTGAATGTAGATTTTACACCACTGAGTGAGAATTATTGGAGCTCTGCATTAAGTTGTTACTACTAATGCTGCAGGAGATCACGTTGTGATAACACTGTGTGTAGCCTCAGGAGAAAAATAAAACTGCTAATGCAATTGTCATCATAAGAAATTGAAAAATGCAAAATCTTTCTCTCTTTCATATTATCTACAGAAAATTACCTAGGAGAAAGTCATAATTTTTTTTTGCTTGCAAAACCACATAAAGATGGAAGTCATGATTACTCTGCGTAAACAGAAATCATATACTAGATTAATCCCACCATTTTATGTGGATCTATTTTTCTAAGTTTGTATAACCTGATTATGCTAGACAGATTTTGGAGCACAAAAGAAGACATATAATTGCCTTTTGTCAAGTCCTTTGGGTCTGAAAAATTTTGGTATTAATCTTTCAGATTTATAACTGCAATTTTGTCATTTTCAATATCTGAAAAGAATGGAAAAATATAACATTTTGTTAGGGAAACAAAATATCTTCTTTTTAAAAAGGATTTTGTTGTCTTTTGATCTTTGGTTCATAATGAATGGAAAAGGACTCCCCATGCTCAAGTAAGAGATGTCCCACTTCCAAGCACCTAAGGGAGACACCACATTCTCTATATTTCATGCACTGATAGCACTGTTCATAGCACTGATAACATTGTTTCATCCACTAGGCTTCATCCAGGATGATGCTGCAGGTGACTAATTTTATAAATAACAATAAATTTAGTGACTCTATGATTTACATCAATTGGACCATCTTGACTTGAAATGAAACAGATTGTGCTGTGCTCCTCATGGTTTGAAGGGGGCCTGTTGTGTCATCCAAGTATTTGATTTCCAGAGTAGCAGAAAAAAAATATTGTATATAAATCAAATCAGTAGGAAAATGTCTCAGCTGAAGTATATTCTGGCTGCAATCAGAAAAAGAGGGCAGAAGTCTTCTAAGGTAAGTAAGTGTGAATTATTTAAAAATCTGCAAGTTCTACAGCATTTTCTCATTAGTTATTCAATCATTAATAAAATTCACAGGTCTCTGCCAGCATCCAATCTGGGACTCTAACTGCATTGAGCAGTCAGAAGCTTGATAATAAAGCAGTTCTATCTAAAGCTAGAAGCAGAAGTCCACCTTGAGGTAGGAAATCCATTAATTTGAAGTCCTAATTACTTCCCATTTTTGTATAATGTTATGGCTCATTGTAAATGGTGTAGAGAAAATTACTTGGACCCACAGCTCCAGAGGTGACCCAACATGATTTCAGATGACTACGTTTGATTCATGGAAAGGAGGGAATCAGCCACAGAGGGCAGACTTTCCAAGCTGGGGCAGTACATCAGGATGCCACGGCAGGAGGGAGGGACTGTGCTTCACTGGGACGTCTGCCCTTCCCAATCTGTTGTCTCCATGTGAATGAGAAGCTTTTTAAGACACTTTTAAGGAGGCCTTTTTAAAAGCAAGATTTGTGGTGGATGAAGTTTTCATAAAAGCAAAAACATTAAGGACAACTTTATAGAGAAGAAATCAAACCTAATAATAACAAAAAGACAGGGTCAGAATTCTAATTTTTTTTTCAATTCTTATTCCTCACCTTGTTATCACAAATCAGCACAGAAGTTAAGTTTATTGTGATAACACAAACACGCAGACTATCAACACAAATGTGGAAATAAGGGGAAAATTAGATATCTTGAAGTTGCCTGTCCATCTCAACTATATCTCTTACTTGTGTAAATCCCCTAAATCCTTTATTTTATTAAGTTATTTTAGCATTACTATGTATATAGAAAATTTATTTTAGTCTTAAAGGCCTATCTAACAAATATCTTTCTCTTTTTTAAGGACTCTACTACTTAATGTTCAGTCTTTCATATTTTGCAGGAGTCTGAAACAATAATCTTGAAATCATATGAACTTCAGCTGATCTTTGGAAGAGAATGAGAAATAATAGGAGAGGAAAACCACAGACCTGGTGAAGCGAATCTGCTCATATTCTGGAATAATTCTTGTTGCTCTCTCTGTGACATTCAAGTTCATCTGCAGAAAGAACACAGTAGTTCATGACTTCAGACCTTCACTGGAGAAATATTCAGAGATATCATTTTACCTTGAGTGAATGGAGTAGCAGATGACTCTTAAATTACTCAGGAAATTTCCTTGCATAAACTTAAAGGAGAAGAGGGAAGTAGTGAATAACCAGGTATATGCTCTACAGGTAAAAGCATATCTGCTTTGCCAGCACAGCATGTGGATGGATTACCATTCCTAGCACAAAACACAAGCTGCACTTTAGGAACATTTAAAAAGTGTTTAGTGAGGGGAGGAGTTGGGGAAATCTTCATGTGCCAGAGAGGAAAAAGTTCATAGACTTGCATTAGCTCTGCTTTAGTCTACCTATCTCTATTGCAATGTTGCAAACATAGATTTAAATGCTGCTGCAATTTAATATTTTTTACTATTATTCTTAGGAACTTTTCCTTCAATACAATGCGGGTTTTCTTCTAAATGGGTGCTAGGAAATCTAGGATATATAATGACAGAACTATGCTGACAGGCACAATTAGTCACAGTGCATTTGTCAGATCTAAATATATCTATGTTATTTTATTCCATTGCTGATTTTTCCTAAAAGTTTCAGATTATCAAGTCAGTTGTACAGACATGCTAGAGTATGAGACTAGGCACAAATTTCTGAAACATTGATAAATACAGAGGAAGCAGAGAGCGATTAATGCCAAATCCAAGCAGATGTGTTAGGAATCAATGTTGATTGCTGAGGAATGGCACACTAGATGGAGTTTCATTGAGTCTGCAAGGGCACTGTGATATTTGTGATACACATAAAGCAGAAGAAACAGCCCCAACACTAGATGGTCTTGTTACTTTTTGTTTAGTTCCTGAAAACCTGTCGGTGGGCAAACAAACTGAAATTGTGTCACAGTGTCTTCTTCTCTAATGCAGATGTGTTAAAGCTCCCTAAGGATCAAAAATGAGTGTAACTTCTGCAACAGCTTGCAGGTCTGACAAAACAGCAAATGACATAATGATGTGTTGTTCTCATGATGACTCCAGCTGATGGTACACAAAAGTATCATAAAGGGTTTGTTTTACTAAAATTTCAGAATGTGATAAAGGAGAACAATATTTAATACTCATTGAGTTTTGATGTACTGCCTTTATTCTGATCATTATATTCTTTTTAGTAGGAACAAACCCAAAAAAATGCACTGCCGTCCAGGGCTGGTGGATACATGACCTGAAGAAAGACCAGGGCTGTAACAGCATTGTAAACCAGGAGTATAGTGCACTTTCAAACAGATGGAGATGGCGGCATGGGTCTCCATTCTTGTTTAGTCACAGACATCTTTTCATTAAAATCCTTTCTTAGGATTTTTCCTGCTGGAGCTGAGAAGTTTCAGCAACAAATGTAAACAATTGTTATCTGCTGCTGTGGAATGCAACAGGTCCACCTGTGATTGGCCCCTCTTGGATGTTTACAATTAATGACCAATCAAGGACTGAGGTCTCTCAGACAGAGTCGGAGAGAGCTCCTTTGTTATCATTCTTTCTTGCTATTCTTAGCTTAGCTAGCCTTCTGAGAACTTTTCCTTCTATTTCTTTTTAGTATAGTTATAATGTAATATATATATCATAAAATAATAAATCAAGCCTTCTGATCATAGAGTCAACATTTTCATCTCTCTCTTCACCTGAAAACCCTTGTGACTACGGTCACCTTGTTTCTCCTGTTACAGTCTCTAAACAGTTCACTCCAACATAAGCTTGTCCAACCTCAACACAGAGCAGCAATGTTTATCTTGGGAAGGTACAGCACTCAGAGTGGTACCATGGAGACAGAAGAGGACAATCTTCATGGTCATTTAACAGATCATCACTGAATAAAATTTCATTGAATAAAATTCCTACACTGCCTTGCATGCCCCAGCTGGACTGGCTAGCCCTTGTTTTGCAGTGCACTCTCCAGAGCCAACAGGAGACTTTGGCACCTGCAGGTTCCTGAGGGTCTAAAATCCCAGTGAAATTTTGTCTCATAAGCAAGACAAACAGTGGATACCAGTAAATGATGATCAGAATGGGATTTCAGAAGCTGCTCATTGCAAATCAACATATCCAGATATAGCAAAGAGAAAATCACGATCTTCTGCAGTTACAACCCACAGAGGTATAAATACATATTGGTATGTATGCGCAATATGCATTGCATATAAGTGGAATTCATATACATGCAAAAAGAAGCTCATTCTATCTAGATATTCATATGTGTGTCTTCCTTTCAATGGAAACTAGAGGCCCAAATTGCATCTAAATTGCGTGGACCTTCAGTGCAGGAAACAGGCACCTTACCAACCCAGGAGAACCTACAATTTCTGATTAAGAGAGGAGAAGCACAAGTCCCATATAGAACAGATATAGCACAATTCCCTTCCTGCAGGCAGCCAAGAAAGTCTGGTGCCAAACTCTCATCCTGATGCTGTCATTTCTTCTCTGCCCCTTTTGAGGCATTACCTGGAGGACAATTCCTCTTCCACATTAAGTGGAGAGACTGCAATTCTGCCCATTCTTCACACAGACTTCACAAAATTATAAAGGCATACAGGACTCTATGTTCTTGTCTAGGTGCTAGAAAGACTCAATCCGCAAAGCAATTTCATTTTGCCTATCTACAGTGCTTACATTAAAAAAAAAGGAGTTTCTAAAGTGCAAAGCAGAATATTGTTTTATGGTGAATTTATGTTAGAACAAGAAAGATCAAGAGAAGGTACTTGCAGTTGCAGAGGCAAATACTTTGGATGCCTCTTAATTTTCAAGAAAAAAGATCTTTCTAGGATCGCTGAAGCTTTTGGGGTCATGGCAGAGCAAGAAACTGAATGCAGACTTTCTGCACTAGATGAGGAATATAATCAGTGGCCCTTCTCCCTCCACTGTCTGGTTTTAGAAGAGCACAGCTAGCTTTCCAAGCCTGCCCTTGGCATGGCTAAAAGTCAGTACCTGAGCACAGAAGGCAATGTGAGCTCCATCTAATTTCCTCACCTATTACAATGATTTTGTTTCTTTTGATAAATGGGCAGTCCATGAAGATATGTTAGTTCTCTAGGTTTATATATTTAGAGCACATGGCTTTGGTTACCCTCAAGGTGTCAGCACAGATATGGAACAAAGACCTTCAGCAGTCCATGAATTTGTTGTAGAAGTTTGGTTTTTTTATCTTCTTAATGTAAAGTTTTGACAGCAAAACACCAACAGTGTCATTCCCCAAAGCAGAAGTACCAAAAGGAGAAAAATGTATTGAGCTTTTCTCAGGAAATGTAAAACTTCCAGCCAAGAAACGGGGAAATTTGCCTTCTACACAATAACACAAAAGTGATGTCTGGGATCCAACACTGGTATGGTTGAACTTCCAAATGTTATTTAAAATAGTAAAATGAGGCTCTAGAAAGTGTGGACTTCAATTATTTTAATTAATTTTTAAAAACTCAACACATATTAATGGCCTTTTACCATAGAATGAAGGTATGCACATTTACACCAAGAATACAATTTACATGAAACTTGGAGTCACAATGGTACTTTTGGGGGTCTTATATAATTTTTATGAGGACATGTATTGCCTCATATAGACAAATCGTGCTGTTAGAGGGTTTCTGTTGTAAAAATCCCTTGTGCCTAAAGCAAACAAGCCACAAAAGGTGTTAAGGAGAAGCTCTACTCAAAAAGATTGGTGCTGTCACACCATTTATTTCTTTGTTGGTCTGAACAGATCGTGACAATCTACATAGAATAAATCCACTATCCTTTCTGAGATCCTTTTTGCAATGCACGTCACCCCTTTTCTTGGAATCGCTGATGCTCACTGCCTGCATAAAGTCAAGCTTCTAAACAAAGAAAGACTCTCACATTCTCCATTGTTCATAAGAAAAATTCCATCTCTATTTCATTAGTCATGTTGTTAGCTACGTCTTTATTTTAGCCTAGACCTTGAAATTTGCAGTGTGCAAGTCCCAGAAGTGGAGGTCAAGGAAGCATACTGAGGAAAATGAATGGGCTAGAGAGGAAAGTGCTATTCCTGGAGAAGAGATAATTTTGCAGTAGCAGAGGTAATATTTCTTTCTTTTTTTTTATTTTTTTTGGAAAGTTTATTGCTGTTGTGTCTTAGGTAGCTTAAATTCTGGAAAGCCTCTTTTTGCTATTAGCAGTTCCCAAAGTGTAGGCATGTTTTCTTCATTCATGTGAAATGCAGTAGGAGAGAGTGCAAGTTGTCCACCTTGTTAAGGACTTAACAATAGTTTTGCATGGTTTAAAAGGAATTGTTTTTCAGATGGAGAAGAAGGGGAGTTGTTTTCTTCAGCTTGAAATACTGGAGAGAGGTCTGGAAAGTTTGTTCATGGAGTGAAAAACATAAAACCTGTTCCCCCAAGAAACCCTCTCTGGGGTACTTCAACATCTGGAATCCCTAGAGTGTGTGTGCATATGGAGCCCATTACCTGCTGATCTAGAAAATGAGGCTAGCCAGTTTTTTGGTATATGCTTTCCAAGAAATCAGTCTCTCCTGGTCCATCAGACCAGCAGCTGAGATAAGCTAAGACAGATCCAAAAAGTCATCACAAGTATTCCTTTCTTAAACTTGCTTTCTGCTTTTACCGGGCAGAATTCCTGTATCTTGAGCTCCAGGATCAAGGTTCATGCCTCATCCAGTTCTTCTCACTGTAGAGAACACCTTCCTGACCATGCTTTTTTCCAGAGGGATAGGTTACAAACTATTTTTAAATATGGCTTTTTTCAAATTGTTATTTTATAGTTTTAAATAACCCATGCCCAAAAATCATAAGAAACAGGCATTAAAAAAGAAAACAAAAGTTAGTTTTGTGTAAATCAGGAGAGTAAGTGTAATAACCTTTTGAGCAATTCATGTTGGAAAAGTGAACCAAATAAATAAGTGTTAAATAGAAAGCATTCTGGACTATACTTTTGTGTCCTATCTTCAATGGTAATATCCGCCTCAATAATTCACAGAAAAT